ACAGAAGCTTTTCAGTTTTAGGAGGTCCCATTTATTATTTGTTTAGTGTTTGTGCTCAGTGTTTGTGCTGCTGGGGTTATATTTAGGAAGTGGTCTCCCGTGCCAATGCGTTCAAGTGTACTTCTCATTTTCTCTTCTATAAGGTTCAGTGTGGCTGGCTTTATGTTGAGGTCTTTGATCTATTTGGACTTGAGTTTTGTGCATGGTGATAGATATGGGTCTGTTTTCATTCTTCTACATGTTGATATCCAGTTATGCCAGCACCACTTGTTAAATATGCTTTTTTTCCATTTGATATTTTTTGCTTCTTTGTCAAAAATCAGGTGTTGTAAGATGTGTGGATTGATATCTGGGTCTTCTATTCGGTTCCATTGTCCTCCTTTCTGTTCTTATGCCAATACCAGGCTGTTTTCAGTACTGTAGCTCTGTAGTAGAGTTTGAAGTCAGGGATTATGATGCCTCCAGAAGTTCTTTTATTGTACAGGATTGTTTTGGCTATCCTGGGTTTTTTGCTTTTCCATATGAAGTTGAGTATTGTTCTTTTGAGGTCTTTGAAGAATTTTTCTGGGATTTTGATGGGCATTGCGTTGAATCTGTAACATTTATATCTTAAGTTTACCCTTTTCTATTAGTCTGTGTATCAACACGTGGCTGTAGCTTATCGACAAGGGTCTGTCTAGCGGCTTGTGTCTTTCTCCTCTGACAGCTACATGGCATCTCCCTGATTCTGCCTTCTTTCTCCCAGCATTCAGTTTAGTTTTCCCACCTAGCTCTATTCTGCTTCTTTATTAACCAATGGCATTCACAGCATACAGAGGGGAATTCCACATCACCTCCCCTTTTCTGTCTAAATAAAAAGGAAGATTTTAACTTTAACATAGTAAAATTACATATAACAAAACAGGTATCAAGCAAGAATTACAGTTACAATATTTTTATCTACTTTATCTTTTATCATAACTAAGGAAAACTGTAATTATAACTATCTATTCTTCATCTCCATCAAAGACTCCAGAAGGAAATAATATTACCTAAGTTAACAGGAAGTGCATTGTAAGCAACTTCCAAAACTCTATAATTGACAGAGACATGTCTCTCAAAGTTCTTTTGTAACACTGGGACACCCATCTTCAGCCTACAGGCCCATAGTATCTGACTGACTTTTCCATGAAACAGGAAATTTGAAGGTGTTAATGCCTTGCATTAGCAAAGTTTATCAGTTGCTTTCTTTTGTGTCCTGCAGAATGTCTAGCAGACTCTTTCATGAAGCAGAAACCCTAAAGGATGGTCTTGCCTTTAAGCAAGTTCAGCAGTCATTTTTCTGTGGGTCCTGCCTGTTCGGTTCATACAGCATAACATCTAGCAGTCCAGGCAAGAGCAGTTTCTTGCCCAGATGGCTAGCAAACTCCATGAGGAGCCTCTTCAATGCCCATCATCCTTTTGAAGTTGTTGGTGCTGCCAGAAACAGATGTGTCTCACTGTCATGAAAAGTCTAAGTTCTTAAAACATTTGAAATGCCGTATTCTGTAGTCTTTGAAAGGTTTGAAGAATAACTATCCACCTGAAATATATCTCTGTACATCTAGAAAATCTAACATGACTACAAGCTTGACTGTTATAGATGATTATCTATTAACCTATATTTCTTAATTATATATTACATTTTTAAATAAGCTGCACAAACATAATACCTTAATCAAGAGCAGAAATAAACATATAACAAAATTGATTTTAAATTTGTTATCAATAAGTCAAGATCCATACCAATGCAAAGTATCCATCTCTATAGCATATTCCCCTTTAGATGTAAGCACACATTTGTAAACAATATTTGGGATTTTTGGCGTAGTTCTCTTTAAATTGCTTTCTGCTTTTTTTGGGCAAAGCAATTTTGGGGGGATATTCTTGGCAACCATTCAGGTAGTCTTGATTCATCAAACCACATTAGTGTAGGAAAAATACACAGGTTCTCATCTTCTGTGGAAACAAAAGCAGAACTTCTTTTCCAAAGCAACATATCCTTAGACCCAGATTTTGAAGTCAAGATACCTTTAAAATGTATATGTTGGTTTAGCTTAGCATCCCATACAATTAAATGTCTCTCTGTACTTAGCTCATTCAGTCAAAAATTCAAAGAAAACACAATAGTATATACAATCCAGACTCTGTGTATATTCCATCTTTACATTGCTTATTTTCCTCACTCTATTACTTTTTCTACAAGTTTACTCTGTCTCATTTAAAGACTTTTATTTTAAAAAAACATTTATTTCTTTTTATAACTCTCTATACTTTTTTTCCCTCTCTCTCCCAAGCCTATGTACATTTTTTAAACACACTGTGACCCATTAAGAGGTTTTTTTTTTTAAATTCAAATTGGTCTTTATTGTGTATCTGTAATCCTTTTCTGACCAGGACCATTTCTTTTTTTTTTTAATATTTATTTATTATGTATACAATATTCTGTCTTTTGTGTATGCCTGCAGGCCAGAAGAGGGCACCAGACCCCATTACAGATGGTTGTGAGCCACCATGTGGTTGCTGGGAATTGAACTCAGGACCTTTGGAAGAGCAGGCAATGCTCTTAACCTCTGAGCCATCTCTCCAGCCCCAGGACCATTTCTTAAAATACTAAGCAGCATGGCTAGAACCAAGGCTGTGCCTTGTCTTTTTGCTCCACCCAATCCAACATGGCAGAGGTTCATTCACTGCCTCTGGGACTACCAGGAGGGAGCTGTTCTCACCACCTCAATCTGGGTGGCACTGTGCAGCATATAAATCCTTTCTATCTGAGTAAAAGCTAAATATGCATGGCCTGGAAATATCTCTGTGTTTGGTGGCGAGAATCTGCCATGCTCCCTTGCCTATGCACTCCTAACAGATCATATCCAGCCACTTGCTCAGACAGGGGTGCTGAGTGGCATGCATGTATTCAGCTACTTTACTCCTAACCCTGAGTGGGCATACTACCACCTGGACCCAAAGTGTGTGGCTGGCCATGTGAGCAAGCCCCATGTTGGGCTTCAATCTGTTGTTGGAGGCTGTTTGTTCGTTCCTGGCCTCTCTGACTTGAAATAACCACACAGAAACTATATTATTTAAATCACTGCTTGGATCACTTAAGCATATTTCTGACTAACTTATACCTTAAATTAACCCATTTCTATTAATCTGTGTATTGCCATGTGGCTGTGGCTTACTAGCAAGGTTCTGGCTGGCAGATTGCATTTTTCTCCTCCAGTGTCTACATGGCGTCTCCCTTGACTCTGTCATAGGTCCAAGCAGTGTCTTTATTAACCAATGGCAGGCATTCACAGCATAGAGAGGGAATCCCACATCACCAGAGATTATGATGGTGGTTTTCTCAATGCTGAGCTACAGTTCAAGAAGTGACCCTGGTGAGGAGAGAGAAGCCAGGTGATCAGAGCAAGCACACAGTGTCAGTGAGTTTCTGAGTCTGTTGTGCAGTGGCTGTTCTGGGGGATTCATCTGAGGAAGTCTTGGAGAACCAGGCTATCATGTCAGTCAAGACCACCAAAGACATTTTACTTAGCACTGTAAGCCCCAAACCCAGGCTAGGGTCGGAACACATGAGGCCTACAGTTCAAGATATGGAAGCTGTCAGAGCAATTTAATTTTAAATGAACAACTGGGAAATATCCTCACACAATGTCCTTGGTCCTTGAGGGATTACAGGGCCATGTAGAGACCGGGTGTCTCAGACTACTGTGTACTGTAGTTTCGGCTACACTGGAGGCCATGGCACGAAGGGTGCTATTTGCTCATCTTTTCCATAGCACCTTCCCAGGAATGGTAGCCACAGGCTTCGCATGGTGCTTCTGGGGCATTTCAGATGAAGTTCAGAAATGAATCTTGCAAAGGAAGACTGGGCTTGGTAGTCTTGTAAGCTTCCTGAAGCAGCCCTTGGGATCATTCAAGGACTACGGTGCTCTACCATAGTCTTTTCTAAGAGAGGGGAGAAAACTGGACATGGTGTTGTTACATCCCTGTGATCCCAAGAGCTGAGGTAGACAGTGTTTCAGGCTAGCCCGGTCTGATGTGGGATGTCCTTCTGTATATGTGTTGTTTTTATTGGCTAATGAATAAAGCAGCTTTGACCTATGGCAGGGCAGGATATAGCCAGGTAGAAAGGGATATAGAGAGTAGGTGGAGTAAGACACCATATAGCTGCTGAAGGAGACAGACACAGGGAACCTTTCGGGTAAGCCACAGCCTTGTGTCAATACACAGATTAGTAGAAATGTGTTAATTTAAGATATAAGAGTTAGTTAATAAGAAGTATAAACTAATAGGCCAAACAGTGTTGTAATTAATATAGTTTTGTATGATTATTCGGGTCTGGGCGGCCGGGAAACATAAGAGCAGTCTCCGCTTACAAAATGGCACCTAGTGTTTGGCAATGTACATCTACATAAAGCCTAAGAATTTTTTTTTTAAAGAGGGCTTCTAGACCCACAAAAATGGGAACATGTTCTGACATGGAGCTGTGATTTGTTTAAGATTTTATTATTATGTATACAGTGTTCTGCCTGCATGTATGCCTGCAGGCCAGAAGAAGGCATCAGATCTCATTGTAGATGGTTGTGAGTCACTGTGTGGTTGCTGGGAATTGAACTCAGGTCCTCTGGAAGAGCAGCCTGTGCTCTTAACCTCAGAGCCATCTCCCCAGTCCCAGGGGGCTGTGCTTTGTGGAGGGAGGAGTATGTTCGATATGGGGCCTTGTTCGGAGGGAATGGGAGCATGTTCTAAGATGGGGCTGTGCTTTGAGGCTTTAGGGGTGTTTTCTGAATTGGAGAGACATACTCTAAGGGAATGTTTTAGGAGATGAAGCTGTGTTCACTCTTAAGACATCTCTTGGGACTGTCCCATGTGGGCGTGGCATTCTGTTCTCTCTTCCTCCTGATGCCAAGGAGTTTTGCTTGAATCGGCCCCCAATCCTTGGATTTCACAATTACAAAACTTTTTATTGTTTTTCACAGATCATAGGATGCCAAGTGAGGAGAGACCCCCCAGACTCTACAGAGCGATACACACGTTGGATCAACCAGCTGACATCGGATCAGCTGTTGACACAGGTGACAACCACTGGGTGTTTGATCTTTTATAGGCTCAAGGTTAGAGTCCCCTGGGACCACATCCAACTTCTTGACACATCCTGTCAGGGTTGGGCTTTGTAACTTCAGTCATCCACACACTATTAACTAGACAATGTCTAGGTGGGGCAAACCCGTGTTGTTTTGTGCTTTGATGGGTCAGGTCAGTGTAGGACATTATCTCAAGTACTGCTGCTCAGAATCCAAAGAAAGCATTTTACTCTGCAGTGTGTCCTTGACGTGGCCCGGGTGGATAAGCATAGCGTTGGCAGCCACAGTGGCGCCAGAATCAAATACACAGTTGTTCTAGCAGTGGACAGAGTGGCTGTAATAGTGGACAGAGGGTGGCTGGGTATGAAGAGCAGATGTAGAGGGTAGGTAGGGGATGGCTATAATTCTGGTGTGCAGGTGTGAGGACATAGTTTCACCTAGTAGCTACTGACTTAGACCTAATTCTGTTGAATGAGGATTTGTGGGCATCATGGAGTCAATTTTTATGGTTTTCCTCTATGGGATCCTCTGTCTTTCCCCTCAGGCAAGCAGAGAATGTCTTGTCACCTTGTATAGAGGCAGTCAGGGCCCAGCATCTGCCACAGAGCCCTGGCTTCATGTTGCTTTCACGGGCTTCTGTGCTATGAATAGAAAGATACACTCTAAATTTTTGAGTGTGTGCAAAACAGACATTGGGCAGACTGTGACTGTTCCATGCATCTGTGTCTGTGAGAGCTGGAAGGTAACAACACACCAGTGGAACCAGTGTGCACACAGCATATCAGGATGCCCTGGGGCATGGAGCATTGTTACATGTCTTCTGAGAGCAACTTCCATCCAGTATAGTGAATGCCCAATATGAGTTCAGAATCTCTCCCTAGGAGGTTAGGTTTTGTGTCTATGGAAAACTGTGTTTTAATTTTGATGTTTTTAAATTTTATTTTGAAAACTTTGTTGTTATCACATCTTTATAATAATAATAAAAATCTCACTGTGTAGCCAAGGCTAGCCCCTAACTCATCCTTCTGCCTCAGCCTCCTGAGTGCAGAGGTTTCAGACATGCTATTTTAAGTAGGCTTGGCTACTTCATGAACAGATTGGGGCAGAGGAGAGCCAAGAGAAAGAAATGGGGTGGTGGTGATTATGAGCAAAGTACAGTGATACATATTGTGAAAATAGTGTTAATAAAACCATTATTTTGTACAAAAACTTTTTAATATAGAAGTAACTTTAGCTGTTAAAAAATAAAGACATTTGAATATTAGAAAAGGTTAAAAAAAAGCATATTAACTATATTCCCACTCTTCAGCTCACTTACTGGTCATGCAAGGTCCTGTCACCTCCTTCCCAAGTGTGACCCACGGCTTTTCTGACTGACTGTAGGATGCCTTAATCTTTGAGGTTTAAACTTCAAAGTCCTCATAAAAAATACCGAATTAAAGCTGGGCAGTGGTGGTGCATGCCTTTAATTCCAGCATTCAGGAGGCAGAGGCAGGTGGATTTCTGAGTTCGAAGCCAGACTGGTCTACAAAGTGAGTTTCAGGACAGCCAGAACTAAACAGTGAAACCCTGTTACAAAAAGCAAAAACAAAAAATAAAAGCCTGGATTAATTTTTTTTTTTTTTAAGACAGAGTCTCACTATATAGCTCTGACTGCCTGGAACTTACCACGTAGATCAAACTGTCTTCAAACTCACAGAGATCCACCTGCCTCTGCTTCCTGACCACCACCACCCACCATAGGAACTACTGAATGTAAAATTCTGTGCCTGACAGTGTTTATGGTGTGTGACTGTGTATTGGACCTTTTCTAAGAAGTATTCAAACAGTCAGAAAATATTTACCAGAAACTTATTGGGGGACCCTCCATAAAACTGGAAAGTTAGCTAAGATGGAGGCGCGTGTAGGATTCAGGTGGCAGGTCCGTGTCCTGAAGAGCTGTACAGGAACACAGGAGATAGAAGGAACTCGGTCCCCAGACTAGGGTCCTGGGAAATGGAAAGAAAACACAGTCCTGTTTGTGAGAATTGGGTGAATATTTAAGGGATAACGCCCATGCTTGCTTTTGTAAATGGAGGCTGTGCGGTGACTCTGGAACCTGATCTGCCCAGAGAGGTCTGCCCAGCTGCTTCTCAAGGCCTTGGCCAGGCTCCTGAGAGTGAGCTGCTCAGCTGATGCTTAGTGCTAAGGTGAACTGGAGAGATCCGGGTGCTTCCCAGGAGCCTTCAGAGGCCCTCGCTTGTGCTTCCTGAGGCCAGTCATGACTGGACGGGTCCTTTGGGATACGTCTGTGATCGTGGAAGAGTAGCAGGCCACCTGTTCTTTTCTGAAAGCCCAAGCTATTTGCGCTAGGGCCTTCCTGGTTCCTCCCATAGTGTGGGTGGGAGACCAGGCCTGGTTATCAAGAGCAAGAGCGTGGCGTGGGTGCCTACCTACCTTACAGGATCCTAGCTGGCCAAGGCCTTGGGATGGCTTATGTAACAAAAGCCTTAGGGTATGGCAACCACCCGTCTGGGCTCTTTCTCTTGGGCCATATGCCCGGACTGGGCCCAGGGACTCCAGTAGTAAATGCTTCAGGCATGAGTATGGCGTGGGCGGTGGCTGCTAGGGACCTCAGCTTATCCCTTTCCCATTGAGTGACGTCCCTCTAGGCTCGGAGTCAGTCTTAACAGGAGGGAGGGTCTGACTGACTGCCATGTGCTTGGGTTTCTTACATAGCCCTTACCAGTCCCACAGTACCTGCTCTTACGAACTCCTTTTTAAAAATTATTTTTTTCATTTATGTTACATACCGGCCAGTTTCCCTTTCATCCTCTCCTCCTGTTCTCTCCCCAACCTCCCTTCTACCCCAACCTTCCAACCCCCATCCCACTTCATCCAACTCCTCTGTCTCCATTCAGAGAGGGGCAGACCTCCCGTGGGAGTCAACAAAGCATGGCACATCAAGTTGACCAGGACCAAGCTCCTCCCCCTGCACCAAGGATGGGGCTGGAGAGATGGCTCAGTGCTTAAGACCACTGGCTATCTTCCAGAAGACCCAGGTTCAATTCACAACACCCACATGGCAGCTCAGAACTGTCTGTAACTCTAGTTCCAGGGGTTTTGACACCCTTACACAGACATACATGCTGGCAAAAGACCAATTTACGTAAAATAAAAATAAACAAAACAAAACAACAACAAAAAACTTAAAAAGATTGGTCAAGGCAACCCAGCATAGGGAATGGGTTCCCAAGAGCTAACTCAAGCACCGGGGCAGAGCTCTTAATTAGTTAAATATATGTAATGTGTTAGGTACTGGAGGGCCAGCTGGGCAGACTCTTTTGTTTATCTGGTGTTTACGCAGCATGCCTTGTCTAAACATTTTTTTCTGAAGTTGAGAAATATTAAAGATACAGTTGTACAGAATGCAAGGTCTGTCATGGATGGCCCCAGGCTTCCTCAGCACTGAGGCGTGACACCATGCCTCATATCCCATTACTTTATGTATCACTGGAGAAAGGTCTGCTTTTTAAAAAGGATCCAGATGAATCAATATGTATAAAGTTAGTTACTGTGATTATACCCTGTACCCTTCTCTGTCTGTGGTTCTTGTGTAGTCCTGGCTGTCCTGGAATTCGCTCTGTAGATCATGCTGGCCTCTACCTCGCAGAGATCCGCTGCCTCTGCTTCCTGATTGCTGTATCTGGGATTCTAACACTCCCAGTACAATATCTGTTCCGCCATTTTTTGTCTTTGCTGGCAGAACCTGAGTCTTCAGTTCTAATAGACGCCCAAAAGAGTTCCTTGGGCTCAGTTTCATTGTTTGTAAATTTGAGGGTTTCACCATTAGACCTAGGTCTTTTCATAACTGACCACACAGTAACCCATTAATTTGAAGATCTTTAACAAAATTAAAGAAAGGAAAAATTATAGCTGGTTTAGAAGGCATTGTTCATGATCTCCATGCTGTAGGTTCTGGTGACCCAGGGACCCTATTGTCTGTAGACATGAGAGACCACTAAGCCCTCTTGCTGACCCACAATCAACTGAGACTCCTGTGAACAGGTAGAATGAGGACCATAAACACAAAACAAAGGAGGTAGATGGCTAACAGGGAAAGACAGATATGCGTTCATCCCAACTGGGTAGCACTTACCCTCCTCATGTTCTTTGGTTACAAAAGAAAAGTAGACTTCACCCAGGACATTCGTGGCTTATAGGTTTTGAGATTTGTTAAACTTGATTGAATATACATCCCAAGGCACTCATTGGCTTGTTTTTAAACTTTTATACCATAATTTTTATATCATAATTTTAAAATGTCTTTGGCCGAGTGTACTTTCTGTTGTTGATGGCGAAAACCTAAGAGCAAACTTCAGACTAGGACTTCAGAGCAGTGTCAGGGCGAGTGAGTCCTTGTCTGTGAACACCACACTGACAGTTTAAGGAAATGGATTATCTGATTTCTCATGGGGGTGTGGAGTAGCCTGGCGTGAAGGAGGTGACGGAAGCAAACGGGGAAGGGAGGAATCATTAATGTGGCCATCAGTGCCACCAACGTCTCCTCCCATTCCCTGTACTCCGTAGTCTCACTGTGTGATACCCTCACAGTCTTCACCCTTCCCTTTTCGCTGCCGACTCCTCTCAAATCCTACTTTCTACTCCCCTCTTGCCTGCCTGTCTTTCCCTCTGACCTGGCTTCCTTCTCTGCTCCATGTCCATGGCCCTCACTCCACCTGCTGTGCCCCCATTCCTACTCTATACCCCTCTTGCCTGTCTAAAATCCCTCTGACCTGTCCATAGCCTTTTCTATTAACCGTTCATGCCCCTCCTGGCTGTTCACACCCTTCTCTCTTGTTATGCTCCCGCATGTTCACACTTTCCCAGAATCCTCACATGTCCCCCTTCATGTTTACGGCTTCCCCTTTTCGTCCCCCTTCCTCTCTCTTGCCTGCCCACACTCTTCTCTCTACCTGTTCACTTTTCATACTCAGCCAATACCCAAATGT